ACATGTTTAGAGTGCCTCAAAACATGTTTAGTGTGCCTCAAAACATGTTTAGAGTTCGACGAAATATGTTTAGAGTGCATCGAAACATATTTAGAGCGCATCCAAACATGTTTAGAGTGCGTCGAAACATATTTACAGTGCGTCGAAACATATTTAGAGTGCGTCGAAACATGTTTAGAGTTCGTCTAAACTTGTTTAGAGTGCACCGAAACATTTTTAGAGTGCGTCAAAACATGTTTAGTGTGCGTCGAAACAAGTTTAGAGTACATCGAAACATATTTAGAGCGCATCCAAACATGTTTAGAGTGCGTCGAAACATATTTGGAGTGAGTCGAAACATATTTAGAGTGCGTCGAAACATGTTTAGAGTTCGTCGAAACTTGTTTAGAGTGCACCGAAACATGTTTAGTGTGCGTCCAAACACATTTAGAGTGCATCCAAACATGTTTAGAGTGCGTCTAAACATACTTAGAGTGCATCCAAACATGTTTAGAGAATATCGAAAAATTTTTAGAGTGCGTCGAAAGATGTTTAGAGTGCATCCAAACATATTTAGAGTGCATCCAAACATGTTTAGAGTGCATCGAAACATTTTTAGAGTGCGTCGAAACATATTTAGAGTGCGTCGAAACATATTTAGAGTGCGTCGAAACATATTTAGAGTGCGTCGAAACATGTTTAGAGTTCGTCTAAACTTGTTTAGAGTGCACCGAAACATTTTTAGAGTGCGTCAAAACATGTTTAGTGTGCGTCGAAACAAGTTTAGAGTTCGACGAAACATGTTTAGAGTGTTGCGTGCAAACATGTTTAGAGTGCATCCAAACATGTTTAGAGTGCTTCGAAACATCTTTAGAGTGAGTCGAAACATATTTAGAGTGCGTCGAAACATGTTTAGAGTTCGTCTAAACTTGTTTAGAGTGCACCGAAACATGTTTAGTGTGCGTCCAAACACATTTAGAGTGCATCCAAACATGTTTAGAGTGCATCAAAACATTTTTAGAGTGCGTCGAACATATTTAGAGTGCGTCGAAACATATTTAGAGTGCGTTTAAACACATTAAGAGTGCGTCCAAACATGTTTAGAGTGCGTTTGGACGCACTCGAAACATGTTTAGAGTGCGTTTGGACGCACTCGAAACATGTTTAGAGTTCATCGAAACATGTTTAGAGTTCGACGAAATATGTTTACAGTGCATCGAAACATATTTAGAGTGCATCCAAACATATTTAGAGTGCGTCTAAACATACTTAGAGTACATCCAAACATGTTTAGACTGCGTCGAAATATACTTAGAGAGCATTGAAAGATGTTTAGAGTGCATCGAAACATTTTTAGAGTGTGTCGAAACATTTTTAGAGTGCGTCGATACATGTTTAGAGTGTATTTAAACATATTTAGAGTGCGTCGAAACATATATAGAGTGCGTCGAAACATATTTAGAGTTCGTCTAAACATGTTTAGAGTGCGTCAAAACACGTTCAGAGTGCGTCCAAACACATTTAGAGTGCATCCAAACATGTTTAGAGTATGTCGAAACCTACTTAGAGTGCATCCAAACATGTTTAGAGTGCATCAAAACATTATTAGAGTGCGTCGAAACATTTTTAGAATGCATCCAAACATACTTAGTGTGCATCCAAACATATTTAGAGTGGATTAACACATTTTTAGAGTGCGAAAAAATATATTGAGAGTGCGTCAAAACATGTTTAGAGTTCGTCTAAATATGTTTAGAGTGCACCAAAACACGTTTAGAGCGTCGAAACATACTTAGAGTGCATCCAAACATGTTTAGAGTGCATCGAAACCTTTTTAGAGTGCGTCCAAGAATGTTTAGTGATACGATCTCGGATCGAAATTCTCTAGAAAGGCGGTGGAAATAACCAAAACCCCTAATCAATTCGTGAAAGAAATCTAGGCCCAATTTCTTGAAACAAGAAACGTCCTAAACCCCTAAGCAAACCTGGATTAGAAACGTTGGTGTTGCGAAGACGCCACAAACGTTTATGGACTAACGTTTGATAAGTCGAAGATGAACGCCACGGATGAATCCGATAAGTTCAGAAAATAGTTCTCAAAGAACTTTGAAGAGAAAACCTCTCAAATATATAAAAAGATGATTGATGATTACAAAAGAGTTTAGTTCACCTATTTATAGGAGAACCAAAACAACACCAAAAGACATAAAAGTGTAGAATTAATACTAGTCTTCCTAAAACTTTGAACTTATTGGAAAACAAAGCCATAATAGTGTTGGACTTGACTAGAGTAGATTGTAAGCAATATTGAAGACTCAAAATGCAGATTTTTTTGTCATTTTCGTCATGGACTTGGGCTGCAACTTTTGGGCCTTCATTTTGGGCTTTCTTCACTTGATATCATGTTGAAAATGGGCTGAACTTGTGTATGATTTGGGCCAATGTTATTTTTCATGTGTTCATGGCCCAAACATTCAAGAAAGAGTCCATTTAGAGCAGCTTGTAGCTTCTTTGTCTTTGATCTCGTCATGGGTCCATCCGGAAAACTGATGTGATCCACGTTGCTCCCATTTTGTTCCGTCGTGCTTCCAATGTCCTCATCATTTCCCTCCTCTTGAGAATGATTTGTCCTCAAATCTGATTCATTATCTGCATCGAAACGAGTTAAGTCAGCAACATTAAAAGTTGAACTTATCTTGTACTCACTTGGAAGATCAATCTTGTATGCATTGTTGTTGATCTTTTCTAAAACTTGAAATGGTCCAGCTTCCCTCGGCATCAACTTTGATTTTCGCTGTAGAGGAAATCTTTCTTTCCTCATGTGTATCCAAACCCAATCGCCTGGTTCAAAGATCACTTCCCGACGTCCTTTGTTCGCTTGTTTTGCATATTGCTTTGTTCTCTTGTCAATATTCATCCTTGTCTTCTCATGAATCTGCTTAACATACTCAGCTTTTCTTTTCCCATCAAGGTTAGTTTGCTCAGATAATGGCAAAGGAATCAAATCCAATGGAGTCAATGGATTAAAGCCATAAACTATTTCAAAAGGTGAAAACTGAGTAGCAGAGTGAACTGATCGATTATAAGCAAATTCAACATGATGCAAACATTCTTCCCACGTTTTGAGATTCTTTTTGACAAGTGAACGCAACAAAGAAGATAATGTTCGATTAACAACTTCAGTTTGTCCATCGGTCTGAGGGTGGCATGTTGTAGAAAACAACAACTTAGTTCCTAGTTTAGACCACAATGTTTTCCAAAAGTAACTCAAGAATTTCACATCACGGTCTGAAACTATAGTCCTAGGCATGCCATGAAGACGAACAACTTCTCGAAAGAACAACGAAGCAACATTCGAAGCGTCATCGGTGGTATGGCAAGGAATGAAATGGGCCATTTTTTAAAACCTATCAACCACCACAAAAATTGAATCTTTTCCAGTCCTAGTCCTAGGCAATCCAAGCACAAAGTCCATAGATATATCAGTCCAAGGCACACTAGAAATTGGCAAAGGAGAATACATACCATCTGGCTGAAGTTTGGACTTAGCTTTCTTGCATGTCACACATAGTCCACAGATTCTCTCGACGTCCCTCTTTAAATGCGGCCAGTAAAAATGTTCCTGCAAAACGGACAAGGTCTTGGCCACTCCAAAATGCCCCATTAGTCCGCCACTATGTGCTTCTCTAACCAGTAGATCTCGCAACGAACAATTAGGAACACAAAGTTTATTTTCTCGGAACAGTTTTTGCACAAGATTGAAACACTTCATGGAAGTCATGATCAGATTCGTACAATTCCTTAATGTATTCAAAACCTAGCAACTTAGCATCAAGAGAAGACAATAAACAATACCGTCTAGATAATGCATCAGCCACTATATTTTCCTTTCCTTGCTTGTAACGAATAACATAAGGAAATGTTTCAATGAATTCAATCCATTTGGCATGTCGACGGTTTAGCTTATGCTGACCTTTTAAGTGTTTCAAGGACTCATGATCCGTATGAATCACGAATTCTTTCGGCCAAAGATAGTGCTGCCACGTTTGCATCGTCCTCACCAATGCATACAACTCTTTGTCATACGTTGGGTAGTTCAACGGAGCTCCATTCAACTTTTCACTAAAGTACGCAATTGGCCTTCCTTCTTGCATCAACACAGCTCCAATACCTACGCCAGAAGCATCACATTCAATCTCAAAAGCTTTGGAAAAGTCTAGAAGAGATAAAAGAGGAGAGTCAGTAAGCTTCCCTTTCAAGAGTTGAAATGTTGTTTCTTGAGCTTTGTTCCATTGGAATCCAACGTTTTTCTTGATGATTTCCGTCAATGGTGCAGCAATGGTGCGGAAATCTTTCACAAAGCGCCGATAGAAGCTTGCAAGTCCATGGAAACTCCTTACGTCACTCACCGTCTTCGGGCTTGGCCAATTCTTGATTGCTGTAACTTTTTCTTCATCCATTTGAATTCCCTGCTCACTAACAACAAATCCTAGAAAAACTAGCTTGTTAGTGCAAAATGTGCATTTCTTGAGATTCGCGAATAGTTTTTCCTTCCTTAAAACTTCTAGGACAAATTTGAGATGCTCAACATGCTCCTCTATATTTTTGCTGTAAACTAAGATATCATCAAAGTAAACAACCACAAATCTACCAATGAATTGCCTTAGAACATGGTTCATCAATCTCATGAACGTGCTGGGTGCATTAGTCAAGCCAAATGGCATAACTAACCATTCATACAAGCCATGTTTCGTTTTGAATGTTGTTTTCCATTCATCACCATATTTCATTCGTATTTGATGATAACCACTTTTAAGATCTATCTTAGAAAAGACACGTGATCCATGCAATTCATCCAACATATCATCCAATCGAGGTATGGGATGGCGATACTTTACCGTAATATTGTTGATTGCACGACAATCAACACACATAAGCCACGTACCATCTTTCTTTGGAACTAGGATGACTGGAACAGCATAAGGTGACATACTTTCACGAACATAACCTTTCTCCATCAGTTATGTGACTTGTCTTTGGAGCTCTTTGGTTTCCTTAGGATTTGTTCCGTATGCAGCCTTGTTTGGAAGGCTAGCTCCAGGAACAAGGTCGATTTGATATTCAATCCCTCGAATAGGTGGTAATCCATGTGGAAGCTCTTCAGGAAAAACATCGTCATACACCTGCAAGAGATCAAAAACCACACTAGGCAAAGACGATGTGAGTTCGTTAGTATTCAAAAGAGCCTCTTTGTACATAAGTACAATCATTGGCTGTCGAGAAAGTAATGCTTTCTTGATCTCACTCGCTCTCATAAAGAAATTGTTATTTTTCCTCTCGGGTGTACTCTCACAAGTCTTTTTCTGGGTTTTTCTCAAGGCCTCACCAGATTTTGAGTGATCTACCTCATGGTCACACACGTTGATTGGTTTCTTCTCATTCTTCATCATTTTGAGTTGATCTTCAAAAACCTCCTTTGGCATCAAAGGTACAAGTCGAATGGGTTTACCTTTGAACTCAAATGAATACTTATTGCTGTAGCCATCGTGTTGAACTTTAGTATCAAATTGCCACGGTCTACCAAGTAATTAACAAATGCCCCGCTTGCATAGGGACTGCATCACAAAGCGCCTCGTCTTTGTATTTGCCAATACAAAATGGCACATTCACTTGTCTGTGCACCTTCGTTTCTCCGCTATCATTGAGCCATTGTAAACGGTACGGTTTCAGGTGTCTTGTTGTTTTCAACCCCAACTTCTCTACCAATAACGATCCTGGATCTCTTGATTCAACCCACCAATAAATCTCTCCATTGTCGCTTCACAATCTTCTTCAATGTTGGCTCGAATCATCAACATTTCCATTTCTTTGTAATATTCTTCAACACTTCTACTTCCTTGCACCAACCTTCGTAACTTTTGATGAACTTCTCGATGGTAATGATTGGGTACAAACCGCCTCTTCATGACTATTTTCATGTCACCCCATGTGGTAATGGGATTCTCACCATATCTTCGCCGTGAAAGAACCAATTGATCCCACCACATTAATGCATAGTCACTGAACTTTGATGTTGCGAGTTTAACTTTCTTCAACTCGGAATAATGATGGCAATCAAATACCCTCTCAGTCTTTCTCTCCCATTCCTGAAATGTTTCCGCATCGTTCCGGCCGTGAAATGTAGGAATTTCCATCTTGATGCTACTGAGATCGTCATCAAGACGTTCTCGTGGATGAGGTTCACGCCTTTGCCTCCTCGGATTCTCACGTACTTCTTCTACTTCCGACAATTGTTCTCCCTCGTCACTAGGATCACTATGATGTGACCTAGCTCTTCTGGATTCCATAATCTGAGTTTTACATGATAGATGCTCCCTTTTTATAAGGAAAGGAAACATTGAAAAACTAAGAAAAATAAAAGAGTTTGCTGAAAATAAAGAAGACTAAAAACAAGGCAATTATAGTTCCAATGTAGTAAAAAAATGACCACATTTATTGCACAAAGACCAGAATTCGTAGCTCCTCTTCTTCCATGTTTTCCAAGCACTCTTTTGGGCTCATTTTGCTTCATTTGGGCTGATTTGGGCCTCAAGTATGTTAACCAAGGGATGAGCTTGAGTTTGGGCTGATTCCACTTGATTTTGAAGCCCAAACTCTTCTTGAAGTAGCATTGTAAATGTTTCCTTCAACCTCTTTGCCTTGGCGCGAGTTATGGGACCGTCACTCTTCAATTTCTGTTCCAAGAGCTCCTTTCGATCCGCTTGAGAATCTCCAGCTCCCGTTCTCTTGTCGTCTCTCCCGTGCTTCCCGATGTCCTCATCAAGGTCTGATGTACAATTCATTCTCATGGGAATAAAGTGAATATTGTGTTTATTCACCCCCTAAGTGCCTTCACACGAAATTTGTTCTTCTTCTCCAAGTTCGGTTCTGTCAATTTGATCCTATCGTGTTCTTATTCGATTCTCACTCAACCACTCTCAAATTCTGATTTTCTTCATGGTATCAGAGCCTGGTTACGATCCAGGGACCTGTGGGTTATGGGCCCAACAACAACTCATTGGCACATGGTGGATCGCATACTCAAATACCTAAAGGGTACACCAAACAAAGGAGTGTTGATACGATCTCGGATCGAAATTCTCTAGAAGGCGGTGGAAATAACCAAAACCCCTAATCAACTCGTGAAAGAAACCTAGGCCCAATTTCTTGAAACAAGAAACATCCTAAACCCTAAGCAAACCTGGATTAGAAACGTTGGTATTGCGAAGACGCCACAAGCGTTTATGGACTAACGTTTGATAAGTCGAAGATGAACGCCATGGATGAATCCGATAAGTTCAGAAAATAGTTCTCAAAAAATTTTGAAGAGAAAACCTCTCAAATATATAAAAGATGATTGATGATTACAAATGAGTTTAGTTCACCTATTTATAGGAGAACCAAAACAACACCAAAAAACAGAAAAGTGTAGAATTAATACTAGTCTTCCTAAAACTTTGAACTTATTGGAAAACAAAGTCATAATAGTGTTGGACTTTGACTAGAGTAGATTGTAAGCAACATTGAAGACTCAAAATGCAGATTTTTTTGTCATTTTCGTCATGGACTTGGGCTGCAACTTTTGGGCCTTCATTTTGGGCTTTCTTCACTTGATATCATGTTGAAAATGGGCTGGACTTGTGTATGACTTGGGCCAATGTTATTTTCCATGTGTTCATGGCCCAAACATTCAAGAAAGAGCCCATTTAGAGCAGCTTGTAGCTTCTTCGTCTTTGATCTCGTCATGGGTCCATCCGGAAAACTGATGTGATCCACGTTGCTCCCATTTTGTTCCGTCGTCTAAACATGTTTAGAGTGCGTTCAAACACGTTTAGAGTGCATCCTAACATACTTAGAGTACGTCGAAACATGTTTAGAGTGCAACAAAATATATTTAGAGTGCATCGAAACATTTTTAGAGTGCGTTAAAACATGTTTAGTGTGCGTCGAAACATGTTTAGAGTTCGACGAAACATGTTTAGAGTGCATCGAAACATATTCAGAGCGCATCCAAACATGTTTAGTGTGCGTCGAAACATGTTTAGAGTTCGACGAAACATGTTTAGAGTGCATCGAAACATTTTTAGAGTGCGTCGAAACATGTTTAGTGCATTAAAAAATTTTTAGAGTGTCGAACCATATTTAGAGTGACTCGAAACATGTTTAGAGTTCGTCTAAACATGTTTAGAGTGCGTCAAACACGTTTAGAGTGCGTCCAAACATTTTTAGAGTGCATCCAAACATGTTTAGAGAACATCAAAACATTTTTAGAGCGCGTCGAAAGATGTTTAGAATGCATCCAAACATACTTAGAGTGCATCCAAACATGTT